GCAGGGTTGCAGCTATAGCGGCCCTGGCTGTCAGTCGAGCCGGGAGCAGGGCAAGCAGCGGTAGGCGGAGGAGGCTGGGCAGAACCAGAGGGCTTGTTATCGACAGGCTTGCCGTCAGTACCACAGAGGAAGTAGCAGCCGTCAATAACGGTGCAAGTCTGGCCGTTGGGATACTGGTGGGCAGGGTTGCAGCTATATCGGCCCTGGCTGTCGGTTGAGCCAGGAGCAGGGCAAGCAGCGCTGGTTTCGGCGGGCTTAGCAGTAGTGGTAGGGCTGTTGTTCACAGGCTTGCCATCAGCACCGCAGAGGAAGTAGCAGCCGTCAATGGCAACACAGGTCTGGCCGTTGGGATACTGGTGGGCAGGGTTGCAGCTATATCGGCCCTGGTCGTCGGTCGAGCCAGAAGCAGGGCAGGCGGCAGCAGTCTCACTAGGCTCGGCAGGGCTGTTGTCCACGGGCTTGCTCAAGTAGAAGCAGCCGTCAATGACGGCGCAAACCTGGCCGTTGGGATACTGATGAGCCGGGTTGCAGCTATAACGGCCCTGGTCGTCAGTTGAACCGACGGGGGGGCACTCAGCGGCCACGACGGTGGCGCCGACAAGAGATGCGATGAACGAGGCCTTCATTTTGAATTATGATGGATGAGCTTTGTCTGGAAACGAGTGGACAAGTCTTTTTCGGAAGCGACAGTGAGTTGTTGATCGGGAAGCCTGGACTGGATGGCATGCCGTGGCAGGGCCTCGATATATATACATAGCTGCCCTTCCATCTGGACCGACGACCCGGTCGACTGCCCGTCCCCCACGTTTTGCCGCATGCCGGCCCTGGACAGCCGGAGTGGCCGTATTTGTCCATCATGGTGCTAAACGACCATGACCATACGGTAGGAACGGTGGGTTCTGATGTCACATAGTCATGAGGATGACGGGTCGTGTTCCGAAAACAACATATACGAGACCGCACGGCCAATTAAACCCAGTCTCGTCGTATCATGGTTTTGGCCAAATTGTGGGTATGATGCGCTTCTGTCCCAGACCGGTCTGGTGTCTTTGGTCAACAATACGGCGACATGGAGAGACAGAAACGAAGGCTAGCGCACTCCATTTTGCAAAGACACTAGGCCAAGAGTGCATTTCAAATTCCAGAGCTAGTTGAAAGCGAACCCAGTTGTGGATATGGCAGCCGGTTGTTGTGGTGGTGTTGTTGTTGTTGTTGTCATTGTGATGATGTCTCATCCCATGATACCCTTCCCTAGAGCACGTTTCCCGCACCCGCTCTTCCCAAGGGCGTATTTGCGGGAAATCCTTCATTTAGGAATACGAGGCAAAGCATCCGAATTGTCCCCACCAGCGTTTTTCACCATCAGACGATGACGCATGGAAGTCAAAGCATTTGCTGGGCCCAGGCTCGATTAAGCTCTTCATTGTGGCCCTGAAATTCAGTCCATTCATCCTGCCTGCTCGTCAATGACGCCAAGTCGCCTTCCATATCCGAGGGGAAAACCCTTCGTATCGCCCGGGTGGCTCCAGTTTATCCGACCAAGTGACCATGGATGTCGAGGAACGCGGACGACAGGGGCAACTGTATCGGCCGAGAGTGTAGATGACCCGACCGTTGCTCGCCTACCTGACCTGACCCGACCATTGAATTAGGTAAGACCAGTGGTCAGGTCAGGTCAATTACAATGGTCGGGTCAGGTCAGGTAGGCGAGCAATGGTCGGGTGGTATGCATTCTCGTATCGGCCAATGAGACGGCGCGACCAAATGAGCTCTCGATCGATATATTGAGAGTTCCCGCCCCCGTCCCGTAGACCGTAGACCCGGCGTAGTTGGCCCGAGCATGAAAATTGCCACAAACGCGATCAAGCGCGAATTGGTTTCTCGAGTTTTGGTCCTCGTTGAGTCGTTGACTATGATTGGCCGGCGTAACTGGTTCCACTGCTAGCTCCTATCATTTTTTGCTGGCTCAATAAAGAGTGAAGGAGCTTGAATAACCTACATGCCCTTATTCAGACATTCTTTCCATCAGCCTCTAACTGTCGTCTTGGGTTACTCACGAAAGATCATTCAAGGGGTCGCATCGCAAAACAAATTAAATAGAACGGGAAGGGACGTGCCTCGTGATAAATTCATGTGGGACGTGCTTGCAGCCAGGCAATCGCATGTGTCGGATCAAGTAGAAAAGCGGGGCATCTAATACCCGTATGCTGAGTAAACCCCATAACCTCATGATTCCAGCCATTCCTTGAGGCAATTCCTCAACTAACTAATCAGTGTTCCTGCATTCTTGGACACTCACATGACGAGGCTCCTGGGGGACGCGGTCTGCTCATGAGCTGAATTTCAGCAGCCGGATACTTTGAGACAATGATATGAGGGCCATGCAAACATCAAAGCGATGGATGAACGACTACCTTACAGGTTAGGACCTACACGCTCGTATGTACCAACATCCCATGACCCATTTCGTTGTTTTCCAGCACGAACTCGCGCGTTTTGCCATGAGACAGCAACAGTGCGGCGCTTGGAAAACGCTATGATGCTAATCTTTGGCTAGTCTAATTTAAGTGTGGTGCTTCGTATCCAGCGGTGCTATGATGCTAGCAGTCCAGCAAGGCTAACTCGTATAGTATCAACGCGTTGGGCTATTTGAGGCCCTCAACTCATTAAAGCATGGTTGCAATAAAGTACTGTATGTATATACGAGGGTTTTTCAGCCTTGAAATGTATGGAACGTTACATGTGTAAACTTGACCTGACGTCCCGCCTCCCCCTGGGCTTCATATCTTTCTACAACATAGAGCTGAGGAGCTTTGCGTATTGACGCGTCTTTCCTTTTCGACGACGCCCTATCTCCCCCCCGGCGAGATGGTCTCCGAGCTCTTCAAGAATGTTTCCCGGTCATCGACAGTGCATTGTGTCTATTCTATTCTTAAATTTATTTCTTTAATTTTCATTTAACCCGTTGCAATCCTTTTTCTACGAGAAAAAACATCGCAGCTTGCTTCATCTGGGACACTAGTATCGTGGTAGCTATATCCGGAAACGGAATTATACTCACCGGTGAAACCAAGTAAGCAATGCCTCTGTCAAGGAGGCCAAAACGCCCCCAAATCGGTGCCAATTACTACAGTTTTCTTTTCGTCACACTATCAATAACCAGGCAGGCTCCGTTGTTGAGAAACTTCTTTGCGTTCAACAAGTCATTAATAGTAAACTTCCAAAAGCTTTAGCCGCCTCACTGAATCAAGCTAGTTAACCGTGAAAAGGGCCCGGTAGAGGGCTCGGAGCAACAGCTCAAATTGGCTAACAACAGTCCGGTATCAAAGGTCGCTGGGACCAAATGGTCTTATTTACACAAAGCGGCAGTGAGTCCCGGGGCCCTAAGGTGTCGTGATTATTGCCCTCGTGTAACATCCGTGTGATATGAACAACCCGAAATCTGGTCTTGTCGATTGGCTAGCCTATCAACCAGCTATAAAATAGGCCTTGAGTTCTAAATCGAGATAGACTCAATCGGAGAACACGCCACTAATAACTAATAGCTAACCATAACATGATACTTACTGTTGCCTCGTGGCCGTTCATCGCAGCGGGTCGTAGTGGCATCAAACCCTTTCTGTCCCAAGACTCCTACTTTGTGCTCTTCAGCAGACTCATCACCAACATGGGGCATTTCAAATTGTATGTCATACCAACCTCCAGCCAACAGTGATTCGAGTCTCTGTTCAGGCACCTCAACTAAAGCAACAGCGTTCTACTGCCTGGCCTCGTGCCCATGTCATCGCCCTCCACAATGGCATTCGATAACACCTGTCCCCGGTCTTCAGGGTAATGGGTCCAGAGAACACCAGATGTCGCTTGAGATTGTCGTTGTAGCCGCTGGGTGTGACTTGGTGCCCAAGGTGCTGCAACAAGTTGACACATTGCACTTGGCCGTGATACAAGCCGCAAGTGATGGGCCTGGTCAGCGAATAGCGACAACCGATATTGGCCAATATCGTTGACATTTATGCTAAATGGGAGAAGCGCGAGAAACACAACTGGGCACCTACCGTGACACAGCGTGGTCGTACGTGTCAAATAAATGAGCAGCTGAGAGGAGTCTTGCCATCGCCGCTGAAGCCGCGGAAAAGGTTAATATGAATGATCCAATGACCTTGAAAGAAGAAATTCATTTCTGATTATCGTGCATGGTGGTTTAACCACAGAGTCCTTCGAAGTGATGAATGGGTTCTGGGCGCCTACCCGTTGGCGTTAGCAAGACAGGTGGGCATCATCAAAACTTTGCCCAATATTGCCGAAGACGACCTTTGCGACTGAAACAAAGGCGATCTATTCGTCAAAATCTATGCTGTTGCTCAAATACTATGGTTCACGATACAGCTTGGGGCCCGACTAGCTTGGAAATTGCCCACCTCACAGCTGGAGATCATGAGCTTTGCATTCATCATCTGTACAGTTGTTGTATATCATCTTCTTCTCGACAAACCTAAAGACGCGCAATACTCTATCCACATTCCCGCTGCTAGATATGCCAATCCGAACGAGATAGCCCGGCTGGCTCTCTTTAGTGAAATATGCATAGCGCCACACAGATATCTAATCATACTATAAAGACAATGACGGTTTGGCAGAAAAGTTTCGAGTTCTTGCAATATTGTTTGTTTGCATACCAAGGATCGGTGCCGGTGGGACCCTAACCCTAAACCGCCCGTAGCCGCAGACCCCCCGCCCCTTCTCAGGCGGCCCGAAAAGCTACTCCCGTCGGCATGGACCGACATCGCTAGACAATTCACATCAATATGACTATGGTTGGACAGCAACACCAGCACCATTAGCTACAGAGTCAACTGTTTATCGATACTTACGATCGCGAGTAAGTTCCACCACGAGGTCATCCTCTCACGAAGGCGCTGCGGCCGAATCTTGGAAGGCTATCCCTCATTGCACCTCCTGACAATTCTCCCACGAAAGTTGGTCTTGGTTCTCCTCCTATCAACGGCTTTCCTAGATCCCGTCGCCTAAATATTCACCCTAGCTCTATCGATGCCGTCTAGTGGCATGGCTCGTGAACTGTCGTCGCTCAGAGATGCCTCGTACCGCCAGCTACCAAGCGCTTCCAGGCAGGCGACCACGAGAGGCAGAAGACGCTCACCTCATAGACGAGTCCAGCGCACAACCCAATTCCGTAAGAAATGCAAACACTCGCCATGGGACACAAATGGGCCCTGAGGGCGCTATGAACTGCAAGGCACACGACACAGCTGGCTTCGGGCTTCAATGTCCGCATCTAGAACCCGCAGCAAAACGATTCCCTCCACCAGCGGAACGATGCAATCGAGTCCAGGGTCGACTGCCAGCGTAAATATAGGAAGATTCCAGCTAAATAAGAACAGCATTATATCGTTGGCCACTATTCCAGAGTCGAATTCTGGAGGCGGGAGACCTGGGCCCGAATGAGAGTAGCCATGCAGACGGAAGCCAACCACAATGCACCGCCATGACCATACTCATGACGGTGGCTCCGCTGCCTGTGTTCTCCTCCTCACCGCCGCGAGAGGGGAGCGAAGTTGAAAGTTTCAAGAGGAAGCACGGAAAGGCGTGTCTGTCCAAGGCGCGCCCACAGACTCCTAAAGTCAGACCCAACAGCCCAACATCTGGGCGTTGGCCGCAATTTCTTGGCGAAAACCCGCATCTGCCTCTTTTCTCCGCTACACAATTTCTTTCTTATTACCGTATCACGTTTTATCTGTTGGTCTTAACACGGGCTGCGGGACACGGGGCCGAGGCGTCTGTAGACTCTTGCGATTTCAGGCTGTGTCCCAAATATCACCCCGGAACTCCGCCTCTAGCAGGAGCAACTCCCAGACCACGACTGAAACTACATTTCTCGATGGCTGGACTACAATTGTTCATTCTCGGCCTTGTCTCCTGCCTTGGACATGCCCTCACACTATCCCAGCCGTGGGTTACAAACACAACCACAAACACCACGGCGACCCTCAAGCCCAGGTTGGCGCCCCCTTCGCGCACGTCAATCTGTGGATATTCAACCGGAGACCCATCCAAGGCCTGGTCAGCGCCGGATGGATACGACTGCCGTGTAGACACCTCTCACGGCCTCTGGGGGTTCTGTCCCACGACGGTCATTGCCGCCCCAGACTGTAGTTTGGGTGGCTATTGCTTCGATGACAGCTCCTGTCTGGCCGGATGCGGCCGACTTCGCAACAACACGAGGATAGCAACGTGGACATGGTAGAAGCCCCCTGATCCGTCTCGTCAAACAGCACAAGGCTAACGGAATACGTGACCAGCACACCAGAGGACCCTTCCTCGAGATACTGTTCCTTCGCCTACCTCACCTTCGGGGTTGATCAGACGTATAGCTACTATCACTGTGGCCCCGATCCCGGCACCGCCCACTACATGGCGCAGCCGACAGCCGATATTCCCGCCAAAACCACGGATTCATCCTCCCCGTCAACGCTTTCAGGGCGCTCTTTCTCGTCCGTAGCGGCTGCAACCTCGAGCTCTACAGTCTCCGTGGCTACATCCGAGCCAACGGCAACGTCTAATCCCACAACGGCAGCGGATAACACAAACGCCATCATTGGCGGCACCATTGGTGGTATAGCACTGGTCTGTGGGTGCGTTGTTGCGGTGGTTTATCTGAGAAACGTCAGAGCCAAGAAAACACCCGCGTTACCGCCGGGTTACACGAGGGGAGCGTCTCGAGAAGCAGGGACTGCATCGCTGCCTGTGAAGACGGGTGGCTGGGGACCGAGGGAGCTACCAGGCCTCGAGGCGAGCACTTGAGAGATACTGCTGAGCGTCTTGCCTGGCATACATGGGGATTTCAAACCTCTCGCTCCTTCGGGCTGCTAAATCACACTTTCATCTATATACATCTCTGCGTTTTTAATAGAGTAATAAGAATGGGCGTGTAGAATCATAATTTCTAGTAGCTAGACACTCAAATACTACTCCTTGAGGAATTTGATACCAAAATCCGTGAGAGTGCCTACTGCAAACAAGTCTATTGTCGTTATCTATGACTTTGCAGTTTGTTGCGTGGGCCAAATGGGCAAGGCATCAGCACTTGAAGAGTCTTACTTTTTAAGCCAAGTCGTGCCCATTCTATTCAAGCTAGGAGATGAGCCGTTTAATAAATGCTCTATAGTACACGTCATAATACATCAGTACCGACCAGCGCGAGTAAGCCTGCCATCGCGCGACGTTATTGAAGACACCCGCGTTGTAGAAGCACGCTATCACCTCAGTGCCTGCTCCAGGACGTTGCTTCCTCCCTCTTCAGCCGTTCAATCAACTTGCCTTCCAGGAACGGACTCAATCCCAGACTAGTATGCATATGGTGATTAGCAATATTCAGCCCATCAGTACAGTGCAAGACTTACATTCCCTCCCGCGTCAACACTCGATATGTTCCGCTCGGCTGCACCCTGCCAACGACCTCGCCATGCCCGTCCACCTCGACGCTGCCCAGGATGTCCTCGGGCCACGCGATCCTTCCAAAGTCCGGGGGGTTTCTGCGATCGCTCAGATGCACCCAGCCGCCCTTGCCGGCACCACCGGCACCACCCTGGGCACTTGCGCCTCCAGCTCCGGAGCCGCCGGCACCGCCCCCAGCCCCCTGCTTGCGCGATGATGCCTTTCTGGACCGCTGCGCACCGAAAAAGGCGCCGCCAGAGCCCAGGTTCGACCCGCCTGGGCTGGCAAAAGCCCTGGCTTGGCTGGCTACATCTTCGTCCAGGTGGCCATACTCTGCCACCACCTCGTTGAGTATATCGAGGAATCGGCGATTTTCCGAAAAGGACTGCGGCGTCGGGGGGATCACGGCGGACGTTCCAATGGCGAGTTTCGGCGATGGCGGATTCGTGTCGAGGTATGTGAGGATAAATGTCGCCGGTGATGACGGGTTGTCAAAGACTTTCTGGGCTGCGCGTTAGAGCTTCAATACGGAGCTAGACCCAGGCAAGGCGAACGCACAATGCGTGAATTGTTGGGGAGTGTTGACACGGCCCGTCGCCAGATGCCAAAGCCCCGGGGAGCAAAGCGAGTCGCTGCCAGCATGGCGGGCGAATTCCTTGTCAATTGACTAGAGTTGAATCAACAATCGGACATGTCAAGCTCTGAAATTGTCCAGACATGGATGGGAGCTTCGAAGTGGAGCCATTATGCCGTCACTGCATTGACCAGACAGCTCCAGTGTGACGCGAAGACCCTGCGACCCCAAAAATATGCATCTAACAGAAATCAATTAAACCATTGACGCGTCTGGTCGACGCGGTCCACGCCAACGTCCAAGAGTATCTGGGCAGACCACAATTCGACCAGTGGCTCGTGACGCAAGCATTACCGCGTTTTCGGATATTGGACACTGACCTCGTTTGCACGAGAGTCGAGGCCAATGGGTTGATACCGGCAACAATGGACAAACCTCCAGCACCCATCTTCCGACGACAAAATGCCGTACCATCCTCATCCGCGATACCATCGTCGTCGCCGGCGTTCGGCACTCCCATCCACCCTCCAAGGCCATTCAATGTGCAGGCCCCCAAGGCCGCGATTCTACCCATCATCCTTCCGCCGGCCACCCTGCGCCCCCTCGCGTTTCGCACATTTACCAAGAAGCACTCGTTAACACTCACATCGTCTGCCCTGCAAGAGCTGGCCTCCTTTATCGGGAGACACTGCGGCTCGGGATGGCGCGAGGAGGGTCTCGCCGAACGTGTATTGGAGGAGGTAGCTCGGGGTTGGAAGAACAGGAATGGCGGCGTCATAGTCGATGGCACAAGCAAGGAGCTGCATGATATCCTAAAGACGCTCGAAGGCAACATGAGCGGGGGCAAGATTGTCGGGCAGGGAAGAGGTCTGCCGAGAGGCGACAGCATGCTGGAAGTGCGAGAGGGCGACGCCATCAACACGAGGCTCGGCATCAGGCCGACTGCGCTCACGAGGGAGGACAGCAACGCTAGTTTCGGCATGTCGGGACTGGGAGTGCACGAGGATGCGAATGACGACGACGACGACGACGACACAAACGATCCTCGGGCTTGGCTGAATGTTGTCAATGCGTTTGAGCAACCGCGGCTGGTGTACAATGTCGGCAAAAAACACTTTGAAAGGCGAGCTTCCATGTCTACACGTCCTCCTTACACAACAGTTTATTAACAACATGCAGGGAAACGACAAAGCCTTCGTTGCTCCCACCCGCCTCTCACAAAACCACCGTGTTCCGAAATCGATATCAAGTCATTCACCAGCGTCTACTCCGCAGCGAAGCATTCCAGACCTCGTCAGTGTCGTCATCCCGCAAACGCGCCCTCCAACGCTCCCTCTCAAATCAACAATCACTAAAAATCACCCCCATCGCAAACATGCTCGGCCGTCATGGAAGTAACCACATGCTCCTCGGCCAACTGATCATCCTACCCACAGGCGATCTTGCCATAAGCGATCTCACCGGCACAATCGCCCTTGATCTCAGCCACGCCGTCGCCATCCCCGAAGACTCGGCGTGGTTCTGCCCCGGCATGGTCGTCCTGGTAGACGGCGTGTACGAAGAGGAAGAAGAGTCGGTCGGCACAGGCCTCAGCGGCAGCAGCGGAGTGGGAGGAACTCTGGGCGGCCGATTCCAGGGCTTCTTCATCGGCCAGCCGCCCTGTGAAAAGCGCCAGGCAACACTGGGCATCAGCGGCCCGGAAGGCGGCCAGGACCACACCATCGGCGGCGGCTTCGGCTGGATCGACTTCCTCGGGGTCGGAAGCGAGCGAGCAGTCGGGGCCAAAATGCGCCGAATCGAGCGCCGCCTCATGCACCACCAGCAGTCGCAAGACGCCCCCGGTCGAGGCCGCGCCGTCATCGTCGGCGAACTCAACCTCGACCAGCCGCGCGCCCTCCAGGCCCTGCGCAAGGTCCTGTCCCTCTACGCTGCCGAGCCGCAAGGCTCCGCCCCCGTGACGTTTGTCCTGGCGGGCAACTTCACGCAACACGCCGTCATGGCCCGTGGCGGCAGTGGCGGCAGCATCGAGTACAAGGAGTACTTTGATGCCCTGGCATCCGCGCTGTCAGACTTCCCCACACTCCTGCAGGCGTCGACCTTTGTCTTCGTGCCCGGCGACAACGACGGCTGGGCCTCGTCCTTTGCCGCCGGCGCCTCCGTGCCGCTGCCCCGCAAACCCGTCCCGGACATGTTCACCTCCCGCATCCGCCGGGCCTTTGCGACCGCCAACTCGGAAGCCGGCAGCCACGGCGTCCACGGCTCCGCGGTATGGACCTCCAACCCCAGCCGCGTGACGCTCTTCGGCCCCAACCACGAGCTCGTCCTCTTCCGCGACGACCTGTCCGCCCGCCTCCGCCGCGCATCCGTCGCCACGAAGAAGCGCGGCGCCGACGACCCCGAGCCCGGACCCGAAGGCACACCGCCAGACGAGCAGGCCCCGGACGCCATGGAGCTCGACGCCCGCGAAGCACCTGCGAAGCCCGCCCCCGTCGCAGACGACGTGCGCACCGCCCAGAAACTGGTCAAGACCCTCCTCGACCAGGGCTACCTCGCGCCCTTTAGACAGTCCATCCGCCCCGTGCACTGGGACTACTCCTCCTCGCTGCATTTATACCCGCTCCCCACGGCCATGGCTCTCATCGACACAACCGCGCCGCCGTTCTGCATCACTTACGAGGGCTGCCACGTCATGAACCCCAGCAGCGTGCTGGTCCCGGGGCGCAAGGGCGTCGCCCGATGGATCGAATACGAGATGGGCCGGCAGGGCAAATTGCGCGAATGCACATTATAGCAGATATCTTAATACAAGTATTTCAAAAAAAAAAAGAAGAAGAAGAAAGCCCCCAAGTGTATTGCTATCCAACAGTGTATCTTTTTTAATCTATCCAAACTCCAACTACATCTATTCCAATAGCAGCTCGTCCTCGCCCAAAACACCAAACAGACTCTCAATCTCCCCCCTCACCTTCTTCAACTCGGCCGCCACCTGCGCGGTAACAAGCGTGTACGCATAAAGCAGCGCGTAGTCCTTCTCCTCAACCGCCTCCATTCTCTTCCTGGAGCCATCGTCCCCCGCGGCATCCCCTTGACTCCGCATGTGTTCCTTGCGGAACTGATAAATCTTGCCTAGCAGCTGGTCCTTTGTGGAGTCGATTGTCGGAATGGCGTCTGTGAGCGGGTACTCGAGCATGATGCACGACGCGAGCACCTGCAGCACGTGGCAGATGCGCTGGCACAGCCGGACGCGTTCCTCCGTGGTGAAGACGAGCAGCGCGCGCTCGCCCGCGGACACCGTCTCGTGGCGCTGCGTCAGGAGGCGCATCGCGTAGAAGCCGTCGAGGATGTGTTTGGTGGAGTGCATGATGCGGGCGTAGGCCGCGTCGGGGAAGGGGCCGCGCAGCTCGAATTCGGACTTGGCCGAGCTGCGGAGAGTTTCCAGCTTGAATGCTACACGGCGGTATAAGTTGAACCGCATCAATGGCAAAAAAAAGAAAAGAGGGCGCTTACCGTATCGCTGGAGGGCTCCTTGCTCCCCCTCCTTCATGTAATCCAGTGTGCTGTTGCTCTGGAGGAGGATGCTCAGCGGTCCTCGCTTCCAAATCAGCCCCAGCTGGAGGTAGAGCACCGCCAGGCCCTCCTTGAACTTCTTGCGGCCGGATATCGGCCAGAGCAGCCGGCAGATAATCATGCCCCAGATGATGCCCAGCACCACGGCCACGACTCGGTGGTAGGCAATGTTGAAAATGAGCGGGTTCTTGCCGCCCTCGTCGTCGTCGTCGTCGTCCACGTCTAGCGACATGCTGTATGCGTAGAGGACAATGACATTGTACGCTAGGAGGGCGATGCGACCCAGCGGGCCGTTCTTGACGACGAGAATCATGTAGAAATTCCAGAGCGCCATCAGCCACCCGCACAGAGCGAGGACATACGCGTTGCCTTGACTCGCTAGCCATGACACGCAGGCGCATGCCGCGCCGATGAGGGTGCCGATGAGACGAGATGTAGATGTCGTGTTTGACGCGCCAGTCGTCATGCCCACGACAATCATGTACGACAAGAGACCCCATTCTCCTCGCCATTGCTGGTACAGGGGTCTCGTGGCGGGTATGAAGGCGAATTGTGCCCACAGCACGGCCCCAATGCCAACCTTGATACCGAACAGGATGTCTTCACGGGCTAGGAATCGCATTACTGCGAGAACCTTCTGGGATAGTACGCGCTGTAAGGAGCTTGCACTCGGCGCCGCATCCCAGTGGTAAGAGTCTCGCCGTTTTCTCATAGAATCCGGGATGCCCTTGGGGACTGCTGATTTCTTCAAACCGCGAACGGTGGTCTTTCTCCTTTGAAGGAGAGATTCACACTCTGGGTCGTTGGAGAGGGTTGGCTGCGGTGATCGATTCCAGAATTTGAGCCACTCCCAGCTGCGGGTGTGCGATTCAGTGACGTGTTGCAGCTCTTCGAGTACATCTAGATAAGAGTCCATTTCGTCTGCTACAGCTTGGAGACTGAAGGAAAAGTGGCCACAAGCTGCGGCGACTTCTTCAATGTCAGCCTGGATCGCTGCGGACCGCGAGCGCTCGAGCTCAATTGTCTTGTAAAGCTCCTGCAAGGCATTGCTTTTCGCGCGGGTGAACAGATTTATGGCATCCCGCAGACTCTCCCGAAGCTGGTCATTGACTTTGACCTGGGTCACTGGGTCCTCTCCAAAGGGCGACTCCCGAAGCGTTTCAGAGAGCGTGTATGCTAAAGACTTGAGAGAAGGTCCAAGCATAGTTATGAATAGCGAAAATATGTCAGATGGTGTTCGGAACAGGGATGAGCTGAAAAACGTGGGCTCACTTTGCGCAAGCAATGTCAGCCTTTGGTCCTCGTCATCTTCTTCAATGACAGACAAGGATTCGCCGGTACTGTCAAGGAGGAGCGAGGCGGCTCGCCGAAACTTTGGTGACGCAAGGGATGCTCCGGGAGATAATACACCAGGTTCCTGCGAGAGCACTGGTGCTTCGCTCAAAAGTGCGATTTGAGTTGATAGCGAGCTTCGCAAGCCACCAATGGCCTGATACACGGACTCGACAGCTTTGAAGAGACGCTTATCCAGCTTGTATGTCTTTTCTCGGCCCATCAGATAATGCTCCAGTTTGGCCTCGCGCAGACTCTTGGACATTTCCGTATAGGCCGAAGTGAATTTGCTTCGTACGTGGGCGTAGACTGGCGAATTAACTTCGTCTTCGGTTCCATTCAAGAAGCCCCTTGTGATGAAGGACAGTCTGTCGCTCATGCATACCGACGCTGTGGCAACCGCCTCGCGCAAAACTCGCCGGGCAGATAGGCGCCATACCAACAAATTGACAGCCACGGAGAATACGATGCCCACACACAGCATCTTGATGACCTGGACAATCTTATCTCCAGAGAAGAAGCCGTCCTGCACCGACTGCTCCTTGGTAATGACGGTAATAATGGCCATGGACGCAAGTGTTGTAGCTACGTTGACAAGAGGTTGGTTCAGTCTCTGTTTAACCCATCCAACGAAACCTAGCCCTCCCCCGACAAAGATGATTAATACGACGGCGTGTGCAGGGACGACGGACCCGGTGCTCGTTCGCGAAGCAATTCCCGCAACCATGGACAAGACGCAAACCATCTCAGCATACGCCACGGCAATGAGGGCTATGAATACGGCTTCTAGCATGGATCCAACGGTACGCGCTGGGTGGAAGTAAACCGTCAGCGTAGCAACGATGTGTTTGCCGTCTCGGTGGCCAAGGAAGTCGGACAGAGGAGGCCAGAAGGTAGCAGTGCTGCCGAGAAGGTACGCCAGCGTACACTTGAGCACTTGATGGCCGTCGCGTGAGTTTAGCCATCGCCAAACGGACTTGGCCCTCATCTTTGCGACGCGTGCTGACCAGCGAATGCTGTCGGTAGCCTGTCCCATAGACGATCGTCGTTCCGGCCTCCTGGCGCTGCTTCCCGATGCTATGCTGCTTGATGTGCGGAGGGTAAATTGGCGTCTGGAGCGTTCGCCGGTGCTAGGGATGACAAATGTGCCGTTGCGCAGTTTCTATGCAGCATTGCGATTAGCCCTGAGGACATTCCGGGGGGTTGTCTTTGGAGGAGCCACAGATGCTGGTGGGAAAACAAGACTGCTGCACAAATACATACACCCCTCTTGGACGGCCGGGCAGGCGGCCATGGGCCTGCTGAAGAGCCGTCGCTCGAGCTCATGGCGCTCGAAAATCACGTCGGGACGTAGCGTTGGGGTGGTTGGTCGCGTCGTCGGATGCACGAAGAGGCGTCGTCATTGTTTTTCCAGCTCGAGCGAGTATGACCAAGCTCTTTGTTCGGCTGGACCGCTCAGAGTCTTACAGAGACCTGCCGCGCATAGAGATTTGCCTCGCCATGCAAGTCGGCATGCCAAGTCGGTGAGGATGCGGCACGACCAAGCGTCGACAGGCAGAATTGTTGGACAACTGGAGCATTTAAGCTCAAGTAACGAGTGAATCAGGCACAGGGGTAGCTCTCCACCATGCAGCCTCCAATATGCACCCAGACCACATGCAGAAGATGCTCGTGCCACATGCAGAATTACCTACCTTTCGCGCAGCATCCATCGTCCATGACCGAGGAGACAACATGACCAACAGGAATGGCTTTACTTTCTCATTCTGGGATGGACCGCACACATCACGGCCGAAACAACCAACCTAAATCTTGGACTGTGCGGCCTGAACTGCCGCCTGAGCACCCAAGATAATGGCCCCAACATTGAACCTATCCGGATACCGCTTCGTCATGGCACCAACCACATCCCTCGCCGACTTTGGAATCCCCTTCAAAACCTCTTCAAATTCCCCAATATTTTCCTTTGTGTTGTCCAAATGCCACTGCCCCAGAATCTCGCCCTCCTGGCAGTGCCCCGGAATGACATGCAGCGGATCCAGCGCTTCCACCTTCTCGACGGCTCTGATCCATTCCGCCCTCTTGGCAGGCGTGTCCGTCTCCATCAACATCTGGTGTACCTGGTCGTACACCACATCCCCGCAGACAGCGAGCCGCAATGCAGGCACCCAGAGAACCGTGGAGTCGTACGCGTCAGAGTGTCCCACCTCCACGGCCTGCAGCTCCCACTGATTGAGCGTGAGCTTGTTGTCCGGCGGCAACGGCTCAGCCAGGACAAACGGCTGCTGAATCTCGCCGGGGAACCGAGAGTCCCATTGGGAGCGAAAGACTTTTTCTACTACCTGCTGCTTCATGTGCTGTACGGTCCCGGCCGTGGCTACCAGCTTGGCCCGTGGGAATTCCAGCACCAGGAGAGGAATGCCAAAGAAGTGGTCGCCGTGGCCGTGAATGATGTATATGTATGAGAGTGCTCGATTAGGCGCTATGCGGCGGATCCAGGCGATGATCTCCTTGGTCTGGGCGACGGTGACGGGCGTGTCTACGAGGACGGCGTGGGTTGCCGAGTAGATGAGTTGCAAGAGATGGGGGACCAGAGTCCGCCGCCGCTTGCTTTGCCAGGGTTCTTGAACGGGACGGGTGATGCGATATATACTGCTGCGCGGAGAGACATGATGGTGATGGGGCTATTTAGACGGATGATGCGATGATTGACTACGCGGACGAAAGAGCTGGAGAGCAAGTGAAATTACAGTTGCTCAGCCAGTCGTATGGTCGTGGCAGCACGACCAAGGTGAGTTCAATAGCAAGATAACTTGGTGTGTGTGTCTCTCTCTCTTTTGTGTCATGTCTGCCCATGTAAATGAGTGAACGACATACGTCGCTCTTAATCACCCGCTTCACCCCCAAGCATCACGAGCCGGAAGCCAAAAGGGACGGAATTCGCACCAACTAGCAAGGCTGGCTCGTATACGACGCACTGGGCAGTCGATCAATATCAAGCATCACATATGCACATCCAACAGGATCCTTGTCCAGACCTGATTCCAGATTTTTGCGTCTTGTCCACTGGCAAGGCAGCCAGCCATTGATATCGCACACGTCAGCCACCCTCCTCGCCTTCTCACCTCCAAGCGCGCCCGCTATCTGCCCAACCACAATCATCAATATCAATCACGGCAATCTCTCGGAACAGCCCGCGTCGCCAAGTGGGACCCCCATCACCTCCAACCCAAGCAGCCAAACCATGCCACGCCCATGCCAGTCCCGAGCCTCACTCAACCATCATCATACAGTCCCGCAGCAGCGTCCATGCGCCGCCTCCTACACGTAGCAATGGCCTCGGCAGCGCGCCCCAGATTCGCGCCCCTCAAGAAGGGAGCGCCGCACACCGCGGCGCCCAAACTCCAAGGCATAGTCTTCGACATGGACGGAACACTATGGTGAGAGGAAACCAAAAAAAAAAACACCACCTCGTTCTCCCAATGGCAAAACCAAGAAGGCCTTACCAAAAAAACGTGACAAAAGCTTGCCCCAAACCCACATGTTCGCAGACATGCGCCGGGCGCTCGACATACCCAAGACGACCGACATCCTGCAGCACATCGAGTCGCTCCCTCCGCACCGGCAGGCCACGGCCAGCGAGGCCATCCGCTCCATCGAGCGGCCCGGCATGGGCCCCCAG